TTTATATTCAATAACTTGTTTTCTCCCGTACTAGCATGGTTCCGACTCAGGGCGTGTTGAACAATACTGGAATACCACCGATCTGCACGATGACGATAACGGACTTGGATGGAAACCGCGTCACAACGACCTCGATTGGCCAGCCTCTTCTTCTCAAACTCTTTGTAACACCGAGGGGTATGTGTTTTTACTTAGTTCGCCAGCGTGTGAGAGTGAGAATGTTCAACTACAACATACCTTTCTTACCATTGGAAATCCATATCTCGGATATCCAGATACAGCCTCGTATACTCTTTCTATAGAAGGAAAATGTGTGCGGGATGTTGCGAATCCGGATGAAGGATGGTGTCATAATTATCATCTTCGTTTTTCAGAGCTTTATGGTGGCTTCGCCAGGAACTGCTATGCAAGAACCGCAAACGAGGATTGGAAATATGAGCTCATAGACGAAAAAGGGTACAATATTCCACTGTTGAATGCAATATTGCATAAATCTCTGCAATATTGATGAATAATGTATTGTAAATCGTAAACGTTTGCATGCTGACATACTTTACCTGTATATATTCGTAATAGTTAATGCACTAGAGATGTCTAAAAAATCATCGGCCATTGCAGTAACGTAGCCTCGTGGATCTACCAGTAGAAAACTTTCATTCATGTGATCTTTCCTATATTACTGCCCAAGAATTCTGCATCATAAGAAACATATTACAAAGGATGATTACATTACCTGTGATGATTTGCCCATGCGTAATATATAAAGGTGAGTTTACTGTGCATGTGGTGCCATGTCTTAATGAGTGCGTTGGCATTGCAGATGTGCGCATGATTCGACCCTCTTCAAAAACTTCAACGAATCGCCAGAAGGTCTCGTTGCTCAGTTCAATGCGTTCAAGTTCCCTGGCAACTCCTATCTGAAGTTTGAGTGTGATGTGCGCGTATGCGTGGGCCAGTGTGAGCCGGTAGGTAGATATTAGAAGTTTTACCGCGTATTTTTGCTTCATATAGTTTATTAAATTAGATAAAGATAGCATTTAGCGTTTAGAGATGAGCCTGACTATATGAAGGCTTTTGCCATTGTGACTTATCGTAACGCGAATCTTTCACCTGTCCTCTCTCTCTCTCCGCTTTCTAGGTGTCTTCCTCTCGTCTCTCTCTTCTCTTCTCTCGCTTCTCTCTCCCCGCTTTCTTGTCTCTCCCCCCCTGTTTTCTCCTCCTCCTCTCCTCTCTTCTCCCCTCCTCTCTCTCTGTCTCTCCTCTCTCTCTCTTCCCTCTCCCTCTCCTCTCTCTCTCTCTCTCTCTCTCTCTTCTCTCATCTCTTCTCTCTCTCTCTCTCGGTTCTCTCGTCTCCCTCCCGTTTCTCTCGCTTCTCTTTTTCTTCTCTCCTCTTCCCTCTCTCTGGGCTCCCTCCCTCTCTCTCTCTCTCTCTCTCTCTCTCTCTCTCTCTCTCTCTCTCTCTCT